TTTATTCCATACATGCATATTAAAGATCTTAAATATATAGGCATGAAGATATCCTGGTATTWTAACCAGTGAAGCTTGAGTTGCCTTGCAGAAATAAAGACTTTGGGGTTTGGAAATGGCACCATGCTGTGTGCTGAGTACATGAAAGGATTAAAAAGCTCAGCATTTTGCTGAAGGCTGACTACATTGAAATGATACACATTTGAGAAACGCATGTGCTTACTRACTGAATACAAAGTAGGAAAATTTAGAAAACTGCTCGGGCTAATTATTTCACAAACCAAACTACGCTGCACAAAACAAATTACTTTCTCAGGGAAATGGGCTGAATTTGGAATCTCAGCGAGCCAAGGTTTKTTACAGAGTTTAAAGCAACAGCTGACAATTTGTCAAGTTTTCTGAAAGTTCTGTGTAGTCCTATGATAGATCTGCAACTGAGTGTACCCCGCCTATCGCACAGTAACTGCTGGATAAAGGCAACCCATAACCYGGTGTGGCAGCACAAATTAACTCYTGTCCAGATTAAACCTGGATTGAGYTGGGCTCAGACCCTGAGRTTAAACTATACYCGGGKGTGTAAATTAGCCTAGGTCAGACTACATCCCTCCAGGCCAGAACTCACCTRATGTGGTGTTCAATCTCAACTGATATCTCATCAATTAATGGTTTACGGTAATAAAATTCTATGAGTTTAAAGATTTAAGATTTAACCCAGTAAGTTTTTTGACAAAGCTGAACCCCTAATAAATGTTGAAAAAGTAAGTAACTCTTGTATACTCAACATATACACCTGAGGGGTTTAAATTGGCCTATAGCCCAAACTATACCAGGGGTATAATCTAGCCATGGCCTCTTTAACCCCAGATATAGTCTGGACTGTAGGTATACTATGGCCTGTTACATCAGAAAGGAAACATAACATAACTAACACACTTATGAAAAGAAATGTGATTTTAGACATTATTGGTATAAGAAGCTGACACTAACTCAAATTCAATCAGTGGATATGTTCTGACCTTTGTTGATGGAGTCTTTGACAACAGTTTGATGATCCAATAAAGCTACAAGATTTATTCATAAGCTTTTACTTAGATTTGGTTCAAAAGATCTAGAGAGAAAAGTAATGGCCTGTGAATCTAACAAAAACACTCCTGATGGAGATAAGCAGTTTTTGCTTAAATACAGAAAGAATTTATTTTTTTTGGATTTTAAAGCAACTTCTTTAAATATAGCTACCCCTTACAGTTTTAAGGAAAATGAAAGCACAATAGTGGACAGACTTTTTTTGCATTCCTGATTTTTAACAACGCAGCAAATTTTTATAAATTTATTTTTCTGGTAAAATAAAGGACATTACTTTGTAAAAAAAAAAGTAAACATCTGGTTTCATCTGGTTTGAGCAGGGGTGCCCAAACATTTTCCCTAAGAGGGCCAAGATTAAAAACCATTGTCCCTGAAAGGACCTAAATTAAAATCAATATGAGGGTGGTGGGCCAAATGCAATAATATAATACACAAAATAATACTTCAAGTAAAGTTGTATTTTTTATGATTAAGCTAGCAGCCAGTGCGGTTGCCCACATTTTCTTGTTTGTTTGTTTGTTTGTTTTTTTCAGCCAATGGATATGGAGAAAATGCAATGTTTCCTCGGGCAGCAAAGGCTCATGGGACTTTTCATAGTTCAAAAT